TACACTCCAGAGCATAGCTTCCCATACCGTTGCCCATGGGGGAGAGGGGCTTGCGCGGTAACTCTCTCCACTTCTAGCTTGTGCCGTCCCCGATCGAGATCAATATGGAAAGTTGAGCAATGGCAGCGGCAGCGGCAGTCAGGAGTCAGGTATGCTGTTCGGGCCATTTGATGTACCAGTGTAACCTCTGAATCGCCACGGCTGACATCCGTACTATTAGGAATTCGAACTTGCCCGCTAGCATATGTCGATTATTACACTGCCATTGACTGCAGACGGTAAGTCCAAGAATCGAATGGAACTTGGGAGTCGAACCTTCAGCTGCTTGTCGTATTCTCGTCGTAGTACAGAAGATTTGTTTCGGCAGGTTGAGTCTTCTGTTGGACCTTGCAGTCGCAGGGAATGCAGATCCTCGAAATGCTACACAGGGTAATCTCCCATCAAGAATTCCCAATGCCAATTCAGGTCATACTGAGTAAAGCATTTACTACACCGCTTGATGACAGCTTTGACGATCAGGAACGTGAAAGATATCACATCACATTTGCATACCTATTCCACGTTATTCTTGTTTTATGATATACCAAAACAGCACACACCTCAGTTGCTGCTCTAGCTAGAGGTAAGAAAGGAATGATGGAGGAAGTTCTGGTTCATTACGTTAACCAGCATTGACACCCTCAGCAGCCGCACTACACCTAATAGCAGTCAACATCAAAGCATTATGATTCATCATAAACAGGTAAACAAGCTGATGGTATGCCTTTTAGATCATGTTTACTTTTTATAATTCTAAGAGTTGTATATTACTAACAGTCAATGTTTAGCAGGTCTTCTAAACACAAAGCTTCCTCGCCCTCGTCCTACCTATAAAGATAGAACATCCCCATCTTCTTTTCGATAATTAATGTAGTGCAAGCAAGCCCGACAAAGAACAACATCACCCGACCTCGATCGATATCTTACAGACACACCTTCTCCTACGAGAACACCTGATCGCACCATGCTTCTCCCTCCGCCAAACGTAGTGCGGGAACTCCAACCCATAATGCAAGGCCAGAAGATACGACGGAGCTACCAGCCCCTACAAGCACCTCGTATGTCTGAGCTTTCAACCAATATGGCTCGTCACAGCGTCAACATACAGTCCTCGATCTTGAGAGACGATGGCTTGGTCCCTGATCGTTCGCTCGTTGTGAGGACCGAGATCTCAAGGTGTTCATTGTCCACTTTGGTGAAGTGCCTCACAGACTGTGAACCAAGCACAAACAGAGATCAGTTCGTCTCGGCATTCTTTGCGACGTCAGAACTCTTCTGTGCTCCAGAGGAGATACTGTCTGCTCTCATCAGGCGTTTCAATGCCGCTGACTATGCCAAGGCATCCAAGCAAGGATATATCCAGCTTAGAGTATGCCGTGCACTTAGAGTGTGGCTGGAATCGAATTGGAACCCTGCCACAGATCAACGTATCCTTGCATCCCTTGAGGACTTTGTCACACAGCGAATACACATCGCACTACCCATGTACTCCGCCTTCTTGCTGCACCTTATCAAGGACCTCCCCACTCTGGAAACGGACAAAACTGACAACGATGCTTTGGCCACCGATGAGAAGAACAACCCATGTCAGCATGCAAATCTGGTCACTCTAAAGGCGGCAAACAACTTCTTCAACGACCGAAACGACCAGCCTCCCATCCTTGACATGTGTCATAAGCATCTAGCATGCCAGATTACCGTCAAGCAGATGAGAATATTCTGCTCTATTCAGAGGAAGGAGCTTCTCGCCGAAAGGTGGATGCTAGACAAGTCAAGTGCTCCTAACGTAGCATCTATGATGCAGCTCAGCGATGGGATCTCCAATTGGGTCAAGCACAGTATCCTGACTGACCTCGACCCTAAGAATCGCGGCGCTATAATAGGGAAATGGATTCTTGTTGCGCAGCATCTCTTCCAGTTAAACAACTTTGAGGGACTTGTTGCTGTTACTTCTGGCTTAGATGATCATACTGTGTCTAGGCTCAGGGCCTCATGGAATGCAGTATCACTGCCGGTCAAGGAATCACTCCGCTGTCTGCGGATGATCGTTGATCCTTCGGGTAATCGCAAGAAACTCCAAGCCTTGACCGTCGCCTGCTCGGGTCCATGTCTCCCCGTTCTCCGCTCATATCTTGGAGAGCTCTTCTTCACTAACGGGCAGTATAAAGACGGGTCACCTGAACAAGGAAAGGGGTCCGTGGGTTCGGAAAGGATTATCAACTGGGACAAGTATGCGCGCATTGCATCAATCGTTAAGGTTCTGACAAGCAATCAACGTCCTTATGATATCACACCAGATGACGATTTGCAGAGGTGGATCCAGAAAGGCACCTCTGAGCTGTGGTGTAAAGATCAGTTCTGCATCGAGGAGGCATGCTACCAAAGGAGTAGCTTTCTGGAATCCGGGGTGCCACTCCGGAAGAGCCAAACATTTTTGCGTGCTATTTTCAAGAAGAAGGATTAATAAGATAGGACTTTCTTTCTTTTCCTTAATAACTTCTCTTCCTTGTTTCCTTTTTGCGTTTCTTTTAATAGTATTATCTTTGGAAATTATTAGTTGATATATGGCCACTTGCTTCTACAATATGTTTTCATTACATGCTGCCCTAAAGACCTTGGATAACAAGGCTGATAGAAACATTTGATCCAGTAGCTGCAGCCTGAGAACCTGTACTAAAGAGGGTAATAATTGCCCAGTAACTGGAATCCCATAAATTGTGTCCAAACACCCTCAGTGGCATAGCAAACGGGATCATATCACCGTTGAAGTCTTCCATGCAATTTATTATTGGTGCACTGCACTTCAGAGATCCTCTATCTGTCTGTCCCTGATCGTAGGTGATGGGTACCTCATTTGTCCGGGGCGTTACATTGCAAACATGAACCGAAGTTGACTGTCCGCCGCCACCGTCGACAATGAGGCTCCCCCGTGCCTGATTCGATCGAAAATACACCTGCGCCTACATCCAAAGGGTTGTTCCCGTCCAGTGTTATCGAGCCGTCCTGTGGTGGGGTAATGGCTGGTGTGTCGCTTGCACCGCAGAAGTGTTATTTGCAGTTGAGACTAGTGGCTGAGAGCTTATTCCGGCAGAGAGAACCTAGGCGCTTGCACCGCCGCCATGACCGATTGCTTTGAATGCTCCAAGGACTGGAGATGGAGTCGAAGTAGGAGCAATGGTGGGTGATGCCGCTGCATCTGACGTGACGGAAGATGTGATGAAAACGGTGGCTGCATCAATCCAAATAGATATTGATTGCTGAAGAGAGCTAGAGTCGGATGAAAAAGTCGCAGTCAACGTGGAAGTCTCAGAAGGTTGTAATGAAGTTAACGAGTCAGCAGCAGTCTTAGAACCTTCTTGTGAAGTTGGCGAGCCGACGGTCGCTATTTCGCTGATGTTCACAAGGCAATGTCGTAGCACAACTTACTGGAAGCACTTGGCTTGCATGGACCTGCTGTTGCGCCCAGCGCACAGGCCAGTGGGACCACAACGTTGTAGGGCATTGAAGAGAATGGACTGGGTAACGAATGGCAGAATCTATCGGGCAGCGAGGAATAAATAGGGCTAAAACCAAGGTAACGAGGGACAAGAATGGAGTGGAGAGAAGAAGAAGGGAGGCTGAGGATGGCTGACGTTCTCTATTTGATTCATGTCAGAATAGGAGGGTCAATGCCATGTTATTTGGTGGTGGAGCTCTAACGATAAATAGGTAGCGAATATTAAAGTACGTTACTGAGGACTCTCTTGATCAGACTCTACTTAGTTGTGTCCTGAGTGGACAAGCGCAGTCGCCAATCTGACTAAAATTGTGCCTCAACCAAATCAACCTAGAGATAACTAGAAGAAATGGCTCCAAAGATGAAAGTGACCTAAATCAAGAAGGAAGAAATATACTTAACTCAGCAGTCTAAATTACGGTCTGTGGAGCTCTAGGCCAGAAGACAGCGGTTATTTACCAACTCTGTGTAAGAAAGCTTGGATATGTCTAAGCAGTTACTACTCGCGCTCCTTCAAATACCCCTTCAGAGTATCATCCAATGTCCTGCTTTCTCTCAATGGAACTGTATTTCCCTTCTTCGTCAACCCAATCTTATTGTGCCAAACAACCCTCATACCAGCATTCGTCGCACCCTCGACATCACCTGCACTTCCAGCAACGAAAAGAATATCCTCAGCATTAACCCCTAGCTTAGGTAGGATAGCGTGATATGCTTCCTTAACAGGTTTGTAAAACCCGCTTTCCTCAGCTGTGACAGCAGCGTCAAAACTAAACGGCGTTTCATACCCAGCACTAGCCTGTTCCTCAACACCGTGAATAGCGATATATCCCGAGTGCTTGGAACAATTGGTAATAACGCCAAGTTTATAGCCCTGTGCTTTCAAAGCTTGGAGAACAGAGGGGACTTCATCCCACGCTTTGATGCTGAACCAGTTCTTGAGGAGCGCTTCAGGCGCTGATGGCGGGAGACCGACTTCTGCGGCGGCTTGTCTGACGAGGTCTTCATACGGCTTGTAGGAGCCAGCGCCAAAGGTTATTTCGAGATAGCGCTGACGCCAGCGGCCGCCGTCTTGGTGAGTTTTCGATGGGGTTGATGCGTCCCATAGATCCCATGAGTTTAAGAGGCCGGTGAGGAGATCGAAGACTATGGCTTTGGGTTGCCAATTTTCATCGGTTGGGGCGCTCATCATTGTCGATTTAGTATGGTAATGTGTTGTAACAGGATATGTGGAGGATGTCTATTGAGTGAAGAGATTTTTATTGCACGGCGAAGGATTAAGACCCCCGCTTTTATAAGGGCGTACTTGACATATCGTGGATTGTGGTGAAAATCAGCCAAATCTCTCCGGTTTAACATATACGTCGGTCACTTGATATCATTTGCCGAAGCTCGGCACAAGAAGCCGAATCATCATCATCATCCATCAGAAGATATATATATCTCGAACGCGCCAACCTATCAATCAACCCTTATGTTTGGGCATATACTTCGCGCTCCTTTTCCGCCCATATTCGTTCTCCATGGTCTCTAGAGCAGCAAGCTTCTCAATTTCCTCTTGTTCCTCCTCACTCGTCTCAGAAGCCATCTCCTTCTTTGGCTCCCTCAACTTAAGAGGGTCCTTAGGCTTTGGAGCAACCTCCTTATTTTTTGCAGTCTCTTCTACATCGCTATTCTCCTCCCCATAGCTGACACTGCGAAGCGACTTTGCAGTCTTGGTGACATTCAGATCACAGTTCAGATAGCCGGCCCCTTCTCTGCTCCGATTCCAGGCCTCAAATCCCAAAATGTACAGAAAATTGTCCACAATGCGGTCTTCCCACTGGACCGCATCGAAACCAGCTTCAGAAGAGAATATTTGAGCCGCAACCAACGCCTTGACGCATTGAGATATCTCTTTCTGGATTGCCTCGGCCGTCTTTGGTATCTTGCCATCGTAGGCCTCGATATATGGTTGGAAGCGCGAAATGTAGCTGTTGAATGCTACGGGAACCCAGTACTTGTAACCATCACCCGAGACGAAGTCCTCGGGGAAGGATTCTATGGCTCCGAGAAACCACATAACGGAAAGGATAGCATCAATGGCATCCTGCCAGTCTCTGTTCAGGTGTCTCCACCGCGAAGGATCTATCTCACGCTCTTTCGGTGGATGCGTCTGTGGCAGGTTTGCCAAGCGTAGCAGTGCATCCACTTCTCCACATGCGATGAGCCCTTTGATGCCCGTGATCCGCTCCGTGTCGCTGAATACGTAAGAGTTTGTTGATGTCCACCGCGTAATCTGCATCGCAACTGGTCGTAGTTGATCTTTCCCTCTAACAGCTCGACTGAGAGGTATTGTATGAATCGCATCGAGAACTTTGTCCGAGAAGAGCTTTGAGTCTGAGACCATGTCTCTCGGTTGACAGGTCTGAGCTTCGCCTGCAGCTATCACTTTGGCAGCCATCGTTTTGGCGAAACGGCGGACTTGGGGGATCCATTCTTCTCGGGATTTGCGTGGCACGAGAATAAGTGGCTCACGATTGCCATGTTCTGCTGCGAAGGATCGATAAGACCTCTTGTACCACTGGTCTTGCCGTTGAGAGTGGGTTGCCACGACTTGGAAATGCTGCGATAAAAGAGCCTTGAGCTCGTCAGTGACACCTTCGAATTCCTGCATGGCCAATATTTGACAGTTTCCTTTTCCTTGGACTTGTTGTGCAAGGTCTATTCTGCTTACGGGCGATTCCACTCTATTTAATAGTGTGTTGGTCATGTTTGCTCAGCCACGCCGCTTGACTCATCTGACTGGAAGCCCGTGCCAAAGCTTTAAATAGATCAGCTAGCGCTAGCCATTGCGTTAGTCAGTATGAACAGGCGTTATAGAAACAAGACCACGATAAACATTGGATTAGCCAGAGGACGTAGATGTATTGCGCTCCTACAATTTCGGCTGTCAAATAGAGATCCCTATTTCTCGCAATGGACGTTCAAGACTCTTAGTCGCTTCACTTTGATCCATCGATTGCAAATAATCTCTTGGCATACATCTCGGCCCAATTGCAGTACATATCTTGAGTCTTGTTACGCAAGTTTCAAATAACGAGTATGTAACCGACCGTGCAACATATAATGATTGTCTGATTCCCTCTCATCCTAAAAGCTTCCTCGACTCAAATCATTCCTAAAGTGCTACTAACGAAGATGTCGTTTGGGTATGGTGTCGGCGACGTTATCGCCGTGCTAGGCCTCTTCGAGCGCATTGCCATCGAGCTGCGAAATTATAAGGACGCTCCGATGCATTTCCAACAGCTTCGTGCCGAACTAGATCTAATGCGGGGTACCTTGAAACGTGTCTTGTCCCTGGAGCCAGAGTCTGATGCGGAACGCGAAACTTTAGAGCAGATCAGAGCCATTGTCATTTACTGTGCTCGACCGTTACAATCCATGAGTGACAAAATGAGAAGCAAAGAAAGCAGTCTAGGCCATTTCAAAACCACGAGGAGCCCGAGGAGCGGCGGTACAAGACTTCACTGGTCTATGATCGGTCTGGACGATGTCCAGGAACTAAGGAAGACTGTCATGTCTCAGATGGCTGCTATCAATGTCCTGCTCAGTGTGCAGCAACAGTGAGCCTCTCGCCAACTCGAAAGGTACCAGACGGCTGAAGTATGTATAGGACCAGCATCAGCCGTCTCGCATTGCAGTCACATGAAGTCGGGGCTACCCAGTCCATGATGATCTAGAAACAAGCGAATGCCATGGCTGGCCACGCGTCCAACATCTTAAGTATTACTTCCAGAACGCAAAGCGCAATCGATAATCTGGCTGTGAGTACAAGTATGCAAGCAGAAATACATTCAAAGCAGACAAACGAAATAAACGAAAGCTTGAAGGCCATGGAGCGAAACATGCATCATATGACGCTGAAGAGTGAACAGAGTACAGCTGTTGTCAGTCACCAGACTACTCTCATCACTCGCCATGCCAACACCTTGTATCAACTGATGCAAGATATCAAGCGGCTATTCTTCTTGTGCATATCCCCCACAATGAACAAGGTCCATCAACTGACACTTTGGCAGTCTTGCGAGGTGTTCCAGCGAAATGCTAGAGGCAATTAGCAAAATCACGTACGTTTACCTTACTGGACAGCCATGCTATGTCACTGACAAAAGGCTAGGCGTATGCTGCTAGATATTCGTGTGCAGCTAAAACACATCATAAGCGCCATCGAAGCTATACCACTTCATCTTACACTTGACATCGTTCGGCTAGACGATGTACACGGGGAGAGTTGGGCGCTGCCACTGCAGGCTTATAGAACTTGGGAAGTAGGTACTCTAGTTCCACTCACCGGGAAATAACTCCTTAGAGTCACAGTCGTTCAGGGACATTCTCCAGTTCGTTGTGTATCCCAGCGAAAGACCTGGAGCAAAATACATTACAAATAACCTCTTTACGGTGGCACAAGCAAAGACTAGCAAAGAGGTGAATCAAGAAACATGGGAAACCTTGATTAAACCAGGCTTTCATCTTGAGCAGGCAGTTGTTCTGAAAATGAATTACTGGCTCGAGAGATGCCTGGATCCAAATTGTAATGGAACACTTGTGGATCAAGTCCTAGAGTTTGGAAGTGGACAGGTTTGGTTAGTTTCATATCCAACAGCACATAGGTTCTCGGCTAACATTAAGTCTGGATAGTAATGTCTATTCCCGAAGTGCCAAGACAGAGTTTGTGAAAACTCGCGTTGTCGACTTATACAACGAGGCCCCTTACTCGCACGACCCAGTTGAGCGATTCGCAAATCTTACCGGCACCAAGAGGAATTTTGGTACCGAGCTGCCACCAATAGACATGGATGAAAAGATAGAGACGTTTCGCAGGGTCAAGTTTCTACACCCAATGCACCCATTATCAAATGAGAAGGGCGGCTATGACCCAAAGCTAAACCCTGCAGTCGCACACGCATTTTCAGGCCTTGCAACCCCTTCTCCTGTAGAGGGAATACATTACGAGAACCCAGTCGAAGATGCCAGGGATCATCTCGAGACCTCCGTCAAGCTAGGTATAGTGGTCCATCAGATCTCTAGTAGGCCTAGCTTCTAAGATGCTGCAGACAGTTCAATCCCCGAGAATTGGTATCTGTTGAGTCGAGCGTGTATGGTGGCAAAAGACTACGAAAGGGCTTACCAATGTCTACAAACCGCGATATCTCTCGAGAACTGCTGTCCCTCATTCTGGATCACACTAGGCATTCTATACTTCAATATCGGTCAAAGCCGCGATTGCCTCGATGCCCTGACTAACGCTGTAGAGCTGAATACCCATATCTGGGAGCCTTGGTACAATCTGGGCGTTTTGGTGCGTCTTTCGCTCTCTTGAGCTGGCGATAAGTCTCCTAACACTATCTCTAGTACGACAGCTGAAATGGTCAGCATTTAGACGCGGTCGATGCCTTTTATAAATGTCTTGAGCGGAAGCCAGAGTTATCTGACGTCCGTGCACGGCTTGAGGTTCACCAAGCCTATACTGAGGATATGAACGACGAGCTTTTAGGTGATACTTTGATTTACGAAATGGTCGACTCACCACTGGATGGCAATTCCGGATGGTAGAGATACTCAGGGCACAGACACTATTTGTAGTCTGGTGTCTCTGACTTGGCAGCAAGCAGGACCTTGTGGGAGAAACAGATCAAGGCCGCGTAAAAATGGTTAATAAAAGCATTTTGGAGCATTAAAGTTCTGGCAAAATATTTAGTCTTGCATGTGGACGAAGAACGACTTCTGAAAACCTCCGGGTCTAGAACTATTACGCTGATGGCATAAGTCCTAAAAGAAGGGGCAGTCATATCTTTCGAGTTCTTAGTGACTGAATATTATAATTAAGACAGCTCTATCTGCATTCATGTTGGTATCATGCCAGGGGATGTAATCTGTGTTTCACAAGACACTTGGGCTTGCGGTGCGAAAGTCTCAGAATGATGAGAATGTACTAGTGATCAATGCAAGAGCCCTCGCGCGTTACCTTAGCATGAGTACCTTTGTAGATCGACTTTCCGCTCTATGCTAACATAGTTTCATGGATCGAAGAGTGTTCCAATCGAAGCCACTTCGCTATTTTATACTTAGTTTAGTTAGTTGTCGGGAGAAATAAGTAAATAAAAAAGACTGACCTCGTATGAGACCCATATCTCTGGGAGCATTGGCTTCACCGGGCCGGTGGCACAATATGGGCAAATGCTATCAAAATTAAGAAATACGCTTCAAAAGACGTATCATATGGCAATTCACGCTGGTATGAGTAGAGTGGGTAGCATGTAGGAATGTGGAATATGCCATTTGGAATCAAGCGGAGGACGACGGATTATGTAAAATACCTTGGCGCCTCAAGTTGAAGCATCTCCGTGATACTGACTCATTCCGGAGATACAACTTTCATATGACAATTAGCTCTTTTTTACTCGCGTACCTGCACCACGAAGTCATCGCCATGCTCGACCGTGCAGCAGATTTACGTAACGGAAGCCATCCGATTGCCTTGAAGCCCGCCTTGACTGGCTTGATGCTATGGAGCACGAGCGATGTGGAAGTTTACAACATTCTCAGATGATCATGAAATCAAAGATGGGACAATTACCATGAAAGACTTGACTCATGTTGATTTTCCTTTGCTCATAGCTTCTGACTCCGTGACTCCATATGGGATCTCGTCCACACTGTGAGTCAACGGGTATCCTCCTGGTTGCTCTATGAGGCGGTGATTTAACCTCCCTTTGGACGGACTCTTTCTCCCTGTCAGCTCAACCCGCACACTTTATCTTTCCTATAATTGAAACATCGAAAGACAACTTTCGCATTGCCGAATAGCACAAGTGCTGAGAGCGATTGGGGGACGTAAACTTCGCTGTCGATCAAGATGGAGCGATCATTCCTTCAGAAAGGAGGATCCCGATGAACGAATTAGAGAATCATCGCAGCGTTGACACAGGCGTTTGGGTCGCCATTGCAGAGAATGTTTATGACATCTCTAGCTTCCTGTCGCAGCATCCGGGCGGCGATGCAATTCTGCTTGATGCAGCGGGAACAGATGCCACTGAGGACTTTTTTGATCTACGTATGGCCATCACCATTACTATAGCTTGCGAAGCTAACGAAATGCAATAGATAGTGACGAAGCCGAGAAACTACTGCCTGCATACTATATCGATAGACTTTCACCCTCCACAGAGCCGCCCAACATGATCCCTCTTGAGCCTCAAGAAGCCGATGCTCCGTTTCTCCGGAGGGATACTTGGAAGAAGGTGGTCTTGCATGAAAAGCAACGGCTCTCACATGACACGCGCCTTTTCACTCTCAAGTGGCAACACAACAACCATGAATTCGGGTTGCCCGTCGGAAAGCATATCTTCCTCCGCCTTAAGAATCTAGTTTCAGGCGAGCAGATCGTTCGACCCTATACTCCCATTGCCGCGCGTTGCGAATCCGGCGAGGTCGATCTAGTGGTCAAGATCTACCATGATAAAGACGCAAAGAAGTGCGGCAAGATGACAACGACAATCGATCTTGCCTCAATGGGCTCGTTGGTTGAGCTCAAAGGACCTATTGGTAACTTTGAATACACCGGGCAGGGCAACTGCACCATCTCGGGCAGGGAGTGCTATACAAAACGATTCATCATGATCTCTGCTGGATCGGGCATAACTCCCATGATCCAGATTCTCAGGGCCATAGCTTCTGATGATAGCGACTCCGCTGAGTGTCTTCTTCTGAGCGGTAACTGTTGTGAGGAGGATATCCTGTGCAAGGACCAACTGGACAGCTTAGAAAGGGAGAACAAACAATTCCGGGTCCTATACACTCCCAGTAAGCCCTGCGACGGATGGGCTGGCTGCAGAGGCCGACTGGGCCAGGAACTCCTAGAAGCCGAGGTCGGTTCCCCAATGCCAGGGAGTGCAGAGATGGTCCTTCTTTGTGAAACCACCAGCAATGGAAGCGACCGTCACCGAACTGTTGTCGAAGAATGGATGGAAGGATAAAGATATTGTTCGATTTTAAGAGCTGTGGGAGCCTGTAATCTACGCAATAGGATGCTTCTAGACTTAGAGTATGTAGTTAGAGGCAATAAAGTTTTCAACATGTAGTATGATTTGGATGAGAAATAGAACCGGAAGACGGATACCACCGTGGGATTTCTACTATGCTCTGTAACGTTCCCAACACCTATTTGTTATAGATTTCGAAATATATGGTCACGACCCTAATAACATGAACCCACTGGCTTCCCGAACATGTAGCGATGATCATGAAGGGATCAACAGCAGAGTCAATATTAATGTTTTCATTTCAAAGACCCAACGCCATAGTCTACGTAAGAGCTCTAGCAATTCTCTTGAGTTATGATGCTAAACGCTTTTGTGTGATAATGCACAATTTCTATATCGAACGTCCCTTGTCCAATAACAAAGTTTTTGAGTGCCTGAAATAGTTTCAAGGCTGCGTTAACTGGTTATCAAATTCCACTATTTCCAACAAGGTCGACAGGTGGAATACTGTATTTCGGACGGGAGTTAGTGAATAAGTGCACATATCATGTACAGAGTCTGAAGACAAGCACATCAAGTCAATATAACCACAATTTCCACGAAATGTTATGAGATCAACTTGAGTTGCTATAAGCTAGCTTTACAGCTATGCCGAGCGTTGTCGTTTTCTACATAGAATCAAGACGCCGTCCAGTTCTACTTGTTTTGTGGTTCCTTGAGATCACTGCGTTCCTGCACCATAGTGGAAATAACCTGAGCAGCTTCTGATTCCATACTCGCGAAACCCTTGATGACACCCTCTCGGTCTCCCTTTCGCATCTCTTGACTCAATTTGAACTTGCCCTCGAGACGATGGATAGAGATCTCGATGCCGATGATGTTCTTCTTCATGAGCTCAATGTAGCGTTCCGGCGCATCCGATACCTTCCACGGCCCAGGTTGATCCCCCTTTCCGGTGTAGTTCATAATCGATTTCTCTGTGTGTTCAGAGAGGTCCTCAAGCTGCTTTTGGAGAAACTTGGACGAGGCTTCAGACTTGCTGTCGTAGTAGAGCGTGGCGCGGCCATAGGCCTGGACAGCAGCGTAGTTCCACGTAGGCACGACTTTAGCAGTGGTTGGCTTTGTCTCAGTGTAGAACTTTGGGGCGACGTAGTGATGAGGCGCTGCCGTAAACAGGACGAGAACCTCCTGTTCTAAGACGTTGGATCCGCTGCCTTCCAAGGCCGCGATCATCGCCTGGCTCTGAGGGTTCTGCCTGGTGATGTGGCCTCGCAGAACTCCGAGCTCAGTGTCGCTCTCTTCGTCTTCGACATCGAGAACGAAGGGAATGTGGCTGGCTTGGATATGCGAGTGCTTGTCTGAGGGGATAGCGGTGGTGAGGACGCCCAGTGCGTTGTCGCGGACCAGCTGTCGCAGGACAGGAATACGCGTCTCGACATGGGCTGAAGAAAGAATCATGATAAAGGACTTGGAAACAGATAAAAGTTTGTTTGGCAGTTCAAGCAGAAGCTTCGTGATGAATGAAGGCTTATAAGTACTCTCATTGTTCCTTTGAGTCATAAGTCATGGTCATGATGAAGCTGGTCTCATAAACAATTGTCGTTCTAACTCGGTGAGGTTGCTAATCCGCCTCACGGAATTGAGTAATCGCATTACTGCATTCGTTTCCCCATCCTGGCGAGTAACGTCTTTCTTTGACTAATTCAGTTACTCAGGAATGCGAACCGGACCGGTGCATGGAGACCTCGTACTGAGGAACCCCAGTTGATTCCTTGCCATCTCTTCGGAAATAGACTACAATGGGGATGCTTAGGTGAGGTGCGCTAGTTGGATTTGCGTTAGCGTGCCATTGATTGCTTTGACTGATTGATTCAGCGATTTGGAATCATGCATGCTGCGTGAATCATTTACAATGTGGTTGATTCCAAAAGTCGTTACGTTGTGTCATGAAATTACTTTCCTGCTTGACCCGAAACCGGTCCATGACTCATGTCAGGTACCAATTTTGTTGCTTTTTGCTTCATTCCCAGAAGAGACAAAAGACAACATGACAATAATCATTGGTCCCGTCACGTTCATAGCGGAATATGGTTAAAAAAAAGTCAAAGTCGTCTTAGCTCTCAATCCCATCATGTAACTTAGGCGCCTACCACCACAGATTGGATCAACACTCGCATCATGGGCTTCGTCTCTCGATCAAGTTACATTACTCCAGCGATAGCCTTTTACACCCCTGAGAGAATTCTGGTTCCCTGATATATTTATAATTATCCTCAAATTTGCGGAGCGCTGGACTGCAGAGTGTCTGACTGCAGCGGTATCGTCGAGAATACGCACTCCATGCATGTCGCCGTAATAGACGGAAGATGACAGATTCTACTTGCAGTTGGGAATCCTAATTGACTTATTCTTGTCAAGTCAGCTTTGAAGACTATATAGATATTGGACTTGCTTGCAAACCAAATGTTTTGAACATTTGAGCTTTGGGGATGCAGCCATAGTATTGATATGGTTGTCTCACAGCAGCGAGGATATTCACATCATCCGAGACGCCGAAATGCTTCAGGAGGCCCTGTTTTAGTCTGTTGCAAAATTCATGAAACGCCCATCTTGTAAAATAAACATAGTACCCCTGCGCAGCCGATGCAAAACAAAAATCACAAAGACTTTTAACCATCCTTTTTCTTTCCTCAAAGGAAAGGGAAAACGGTTATAAAGCCACATTTCAGTGGCTTCAGCTGAGGCACACAGCTGGTGGTGGCTGAGTGTTGAAAAAACGCCTTCCCGCTGAGTTACCCAATCATGCCCGACGGGCAAGCGCGACAATGGTGGCTGCCGTAGACTGCACGTGAGGCCTCTCTCTGATCAGGCTGTCAAGTCAGCTCCTACTTGCTCATTTTTCTTCTCACATCAACAGAGCATCAGATGCCTCATACGCGACATTGAAATCATGGAGCTTTCCCGGCCCGCGGACTCGCAAATCGTCGCCGCTTATCGACCTCGCTCTAGCCAGGACGTTTCAGCCGCACCTGTCAGGGAGCTTGAGAGAACCATCGCGGGATTTCAAGCCGTATTGACCGATGAAGACCGCAAAAAGCTGCAGCAGCTCAAAGCGACGTCGCACGACTCGCAAAGCATCATCACTTTCACGGCCGAGTTGGATCTTCTCGACAAGAATCGGCGAGGGAAGAGTGTCGCCTCGAGATTGGCTTCGTTCCTGCAGACGATTGAACAGTTTACGCCCATAGTCGACACATACATTCAATCGAATCCTGATATCACGGCGCTTATCTGGGGCTCAATTAAACTAACATTTATGGTACGTGATGCCAGTGCAAGCTTGACACTTGTCGCGCTCTTGGTGACGACAACGCTATCTTTCACAACCCCGGATCTATTACTAACCATCGCCTGTTGGTAGTTCCTCGCCAACTTCGCATCCTACTTCCAATCATTCGTCGAGCTTCTTAATGGATTTGGTTCGCTTTGTACGCGATTCGCCGAGTACCAAGTCATATTCAACGAATCCTCGCGTCTCAAAACTTCTGTCTGCCAGTTTCACACGGCAGTCGTTGCCTGTTGCCAGCAAATCGTCTTGGCTCTCCGACGGCCTTGTGAGCATAGAGAAGTAGTTGACCAAAAGATGCGCTAATCGCTCGGATAGTGAAGAATCAGATTCTCACGGCAATTACACAGTCATTTCAGTCTGAACTTCGAAGCTACGTGGAAAATATCAGAGCGAAAGCAGAGCAGGTCCAGGGCGATATCCAATTGGTCAAAGCTCAGTGTGACCGCGAGGAACAGCAACTACAGACGACAGAGCGAAAAGAGGCTACCGACCATCGGAAACGCTTCAGAGCTTGGGCTGCCGAAATGGAAATCTTTCAAATGCAACGAAGACGAGATGCATTAGGTTGGGCATGAATGATCTTTGCGTCGACAACGAAACTAATTCTGAATCGTAGAACAGAAACGGCGTCGCCTCCTCGAGGACCTATCCTCATTCAACTTCACGTCAGCCTTCAACAACACACGAAATAAGCGCCATGTTGGCACGGCCAAGTGGGTCTTCGATACTCCTGAATTCCAACAATGGGTCAAAGCCGATGGACCTCCCGTTCTTCATGTCACGGGGAAGAGTGAGTCGTCTGCTACGGAAAGGAACGAGTGAACGGAGCTGACTACTGTCTCAAGTTGGGTCCGGTAAAACTGTATTGTCGTGAGTAATTGTACTCCAGGTACAAAGCCACAAAGCTTACCATCATGGCCACAGGTCCTCCATCGTTGAGAAGCTGTCGCAGATTCGGCCACCTCAACAATTCGTGTCGTTCTTCTTTTCCCGGTTCGATGATGCGCTTAGCCTTAACGCTGAGACGATCATACGTTCCTGCGTTCAGCAGTTAGTATCAGCCATCGATATGGACAGTCTTGACCAAAAGATCGCTTCTGAACTTGACGAATACCTATCTTAAGCAAAGTCAGCTCTGTTCTCCCTCAACCTACTTTCAGGTCTCTATCAATTTGCGGCCAAGGCTATGAAACAATGGTTTATAGTCATCGACGGGTTGGATGAATGTAGCACTGACCAACAGTCCAAGCTGCTAAAGTTCTTCCAGGGCATTCTTTCGGGGGGAACCCGTAACATAAGCGTTATCTTCGCTTCTCGAGAGACATGCACCAATGCAATCAGAAACACTTTCCCGGAATCCATGCGACTGGTTACAGGCCAACAAAGTACTAGTGTAGACATTGGGTCATACGTTGACGACATCATCATTGACAAACTGTCAAATGGAGAACTAGTTATTAATGACCCCAGGCTATTGAATGAGATTCTGAGAACTATTGCTTCCAAGGAGCAGGGAATGTGAGCAACTTTCGACCAATTCAAGTCCTAGTCTACAGAGCTAACCATTGCGGTCAGGTTCTTGTGGGCCTTTTTTGCTATCGAGGATATATGCTCTGGGAAGACTGACAATGAGATTCGCCAAGCGCTTCAAAATATCCCAGGTGACCTTCCCGCGACCTTCAACCGTGCGCTCAGCCGCATTGTTCAAAAACGAAATCAAGACATCGCCAAAAAGGCCTTCATGTGGACAAAGGCAACATCAAAACCATTGACCTTGCTACAACTCCGCGAAGCACTGTCTATCAAGCCTGGTCAACACACTCTGGGCCAGGAGGATCTCATCAGTCGCATAGAGCGATTACCTTCTTGGTGCGAGAACCTGCTCTATGTTGAGGAAACGGACAACACAGTTCGGTTCAGCCATCATTCCATTCAAGAGTATCTTTTGGCATCAGATTCTGGTGAACATGCGGCACTCCACATTGACCCCAATCAGTGTGATAAGCTTGCTGGCGAGGTCTGCATTACGTATGTCAATCTTGACAACTTCCAAACGGCACTAGCAGAGAGAAAAAGAGAGCCTCTGACTCCATCCGCTATGAAGATCGATCCAAGTGGAATAGCTGAACAGACGGTACAATCCGCCATCCAAGGTGGCGTTGGAACACGCGTTGGTCGCCTCGCTCGCCAATTTGTCAAGACGCCAAACTCAAATAAAACATCAGTACAGCGCGACTTTTCCCTTAGTTCTCCCATCCCAGTTACCAGTAAGGCCCAAGGGACCGCAGACTACCCCGCCCTCGAGTATGCTTCGCGAAACTGGTTCAAGCATACCAAAAATATTAACAAAGATGAGACGGAGATCTGGAAACTTTTCGGTCAACTGGTCCAGAAGCCTGCTGAGCACTCGCAAGGCGAGCCCTGGCATAGTACGGAATGGAAGAAGGAAGCCGTGACGGGATTTCCAAAACATGACGATTCAAGATCAAACTGCTTTAGCGAAGTGATTCGTAGCCAAGTGAGGGGCGGGATGGCTGGCATCGAAGCGCCTTCATCAAATGTACCAGAATTCTCTCACCTACTTCTGGCCTTTTTATACGCAGAGTTGAACGGTTACAGCGCGCTCGCATGTCGATCCTTTCAATTGCTGTTAGGATTATATGCATTTTCAGACGAGCTTAACAAGCTTGTTTGCGTCCTGCTGGCTAACAAAAATCACATGGCCTGCCGAAATGATTGTGCAAGTTTCGTGCCTGTAGATCTGGACCATCAATGTCTCGTGGAAGATCTCAGAAAGGCTATCGTTCGTGGAATCTCATACTTCCCAGCCTTGAAAGAACATATGACAGGAGCTTCCTGTGATTGCGCAGATTCATCTCCTCTTGAGTCAAGGCGCGACATATGCCATGTGCTAGAAGCAGGTTACCGACAAGTATCAGAGCCGCATTTACAGGCTTTCGCTATCATGGCGGAAAGGATGAAGGCCCAAGGCAATATACCAACCGTCAGTAAACTGATGGATTTATGTCTCACTGAGACAAGTGGGATGACTGAAGCCAGAAATACCCACGGAATGCTTTTATTTGATGTTCTGATACATTGGGGCGTGGTAAATCGCGATCTCCACGATCTCCGCGGGAGAGCTAGACCCCTCTCGTACCCTATCGCTATGTTTATGGGATACACATTGCTGCCGACCTTTCAGAGTGAGCTAGGCGGCCCAGATTCTCACTACTCACCATCTAGACTGGCTCCTCTAAAGTACACGATTTGTTTTCTAAACCTTTTGGAGGTCGGGGTCCAGGGCGAACCGGCACCGAAGAGAGAGGAAGCCGACCGTTATGCTTTATCTGGCGCCCTATTCGAACTCCATGGAGACACTATTGCCACAATATTTCACAATTTCGTTATACCTACTCTTTGGGAACCTTACATGGCAACTTATATTGTCAAGACTTTTTTCTATGGATCTTTGCTGCCTGCCCCTAAGCACATCGTGCATGCCCATGAGGATTGCTTCCGGGAAGCAGTGTGGCGAAACAACTGGGACATTGCTGCAGCTTTAGCTAAGTATAAGCCAATATCTGACTATGGTGCAATACACGGTGGGCACTTCGCTTTCGTCCGGGAAGCTTTACTCTGCGGTAATTGCTGGCGACGCATGCAAAATATGGTTAGACAGCTGACCTCAAAGGAGATGCATCAGTATTCTTTCAAGCTATGTGGGGATCACAATTCGAGGTTCAAAAAGATTTCTGATTCACTCCAAGGCATACACGATGCGAAGAAGGAAACTTTGCTTTGCCCGGGACATAGCACACCGGCGTTACCTGAACGGGACGGAAATTAAAGCGGGCACAACATTGATTCTCATCGTACACACTGAATTTTGCATCATCTCTTGCCCAGTATATATTCTTGGCCACATAAAACTTCCTCATACATCCCCTCTTACATCCTTAACCTGCTTCGTCCTCTCCGAATCCGTCTGATCTCCCGTATTGACGGTACCCTCCCTCTCCACCATCATAATAACAGCATTCTCCGCCACAGGCTTATGCGTGACTCCCTTTGGCACGACATACATATCCCCCTCCTTCATAACAATAGGCTCTTCGCCTTGAATCTCCATGGTCAATTTTCCAGAAAGTAAATAGAAGAGCTCTTCAGAGTCGGGATGTGCGTGCCAGATGAATGAACCGTCGATCTTGGCGACTTTGACGTGATGGTCGTTGATTGATGCAATGAGACGTGGGGACCATTTTTCTGTGAATGAGGAGAGGATTTCGGGGACGGAGGTTGTTTGAGACATGGTTTTGGAGTCGGGGATGTGAATGGTTGAGAAGTGTTATTTGGAGGAGTGAGTTTTGGCTGAAAGCTCAAGTCGGAACAGAGAGAAACTTAGTAGTTTGAGTTTGGGTGAGATGAAAGTGTATTTGGTGATTGGCGTCTTATATAAGGCTGAGCTTATAGCGGATGGTCCCCACTATGCTGATGTCGTTTGCAAGGCGCAAGGGCGTGAGATCACGCTGCATAAATACAGTACTGATTATATGCCAGACCATCTTCTTATCCTTGCAGTGGTGTTGTTTTCTCCGCAAACCAGTAAACATTCCTGCACTGATCTGAATATGTTCTCTAACCTTATAAGGTTGGTAGTATGTGCAGCAATTGGCAGTGCTGGACAGTTTATACTTGAATAAATGAAGTCATAATTGGGCCCCTGCTCATTAATCATGTCTCCACTTTTACGAATCTTGTCCTAGCGTCACCTGACTCATTGACACCAAGTGCACGCTTCATTACCCATTTTAGTGTTTCACTTCGCGCGCCGAAGATTTCTCGCGCTGCGTTCTGTTGACTATCCTAATATACAGTAACCTCCTGCTCTACAGAACATAGGCCAACTCATCTCCTACATCAACACTCACTTAAGATGGCCGCCTACCAGATGCTGCAGCGCGATCCAGCGTCCAAAGATCTCTTCAACAAACGCATCACAACACTGGAAGGTTTGCGTAACATTTCGAGCAACTCTTCTTTTCTCGCCATCGACACCGAACACATTGCTGTGACTAGCCAAAGGGACCGCATTCTCCACCAACTTGGGATAGCGTTTCTTCCAGCACTCAAGCCAACAGAATCATCCAGTACTGATGCGACCAGTACCAACAGACCTTCACTCAAGCCTTTCTACGACAATAACAAGATCAGCGGATTGACTCTCAATGTAAATGTCCGCAAAGAAGTGCAAGATCAGCTTATCGCGCTCCGTGGTGGTAAAGGATTGCCAATTCGTCGCTCTATACGCTTCGGCGAGGAAAAACAAGTCGACATCGATGATTTAGAATCCGCTGTCATAGAGTTCATCCAGGATTGTAACCACGATAGTAGCCTGGTTTTGCTGGGGTTTGAGATGGCAGCGGAGTGGACTTACTTATTTGAAGCCTTCCCGCGAGCCATTCCCCTTTTCTCCGCTTGGGTAGATCTTCGAGACATTGCCAAGGACATAGCATCGTCAACTGGTGTCATACCAGGCCTGGTATCTTGTCTACAACTTTTTGGCTATCACTGGAAAGACATACTCTCCATCAAGGGCAATTCTAGTGGAGGCATTGCCGACAATGCGGGAGATGATGCTGTCTCAACTTGTGCGTTTGCAAGTGCACTTCTGTCCCCGACAAACCAGGAGAAGCTGATATTCCGACAAAAGTGTGCCCAAATCGCGCAGGTCTTTTCCAAAAAAAACGGTCAACAAATTCTACGACGGCGCCAAGCATTCGCTGTAGCGGTCACCGCTCAACACAAACTCCCCGCCTCGATTGACTCAGGTATGAAACTAGCGCGCCGATTCTTCGGCTATTCACCTGAGGCTGCTGGAATATTATCCCCGGATGTGGCGTGCCTCACCTTTCGGAGCGAGGAACATATGGATCGTTTCTTGTTGGAGGTGAATGGGCTGGAACTCCCGACGGGTGAAAGACTATCAGTTGAGCGCCAGTCCCAGGAAGGAGGCAGTTCTGAGAAAGAGAACCAGTTGCAGGATGAGAAGAGAGCGCTAAGGGAAAGGCAACGTCAGGAGAACGATGAGGATAGTTTAGAGGATTTAGGAGGTTTATTTTTCTAAAAGATTTCTTTTTCTTTTTCTTTTTTTCTAAATAAAATACTTAAAGCTATAGTATTAAGCCTTCTTGACTTAATATATAAGTATAAAGTATAATAAATAAAATATATATAGTCTTAATAAGTAAAGACTATATTTAATATTAAGTACTTATAATATAATTTAAGTAAGGAATACTTTACTAAAAGAAAATAGAGTATATTAACAGGCATGAAAATAAAAGTAAGTAATATTAGTAAGAAAAATAAAAGAAAAATAAAAAAATAATTGACCGGCCCGGGACTCGAACCCGGATCCTCCGCTTCGCCTGCGTGGAACACTAGTCAGAACGTAACTTTAACCATTAAGCTAACCGGCCTGTTTCTGGTTGTTGGAAGAACTTCGCTAATTTTATTATTTATACATACACCCCAGGGGTGGCATCATACCAAAGCTCTGAACGACCAACAAGACTTGGCTTAGTGGTCATCTCATCACCAGCGACATGCGCAGACATTTGTGGAGATTCATCGCGGCTGGATATAATTGAAACTTCTGTAAGACGAGCTTCAGAGAGATAGTCCGAATTATTGTTCTTGTTGTTGTTCGCGAACAGGTGAAGAAACAAGGTGATTTGGGCAGACGTGAGAAAAATAGCGCAGAAGCTTGACTCGGTTCCCCACTGAGAGGGCTATAACCCTGTGAGCTTCGGTCCCATTGCTGAGATTGTGTCACCCACAGGACGTAATTGGTTGGGATCCTGCTAGGTTCACGACGGAGTGTTGATATGGCCCTCATTTGCTCCGGCTTGATGCTTCCCCTCCACGTTCTCTTAGTGGTGCACAACAAAGCCATTGAACCGACCAATAATCGATGTGAATGAAGTTGTCTCCATACTCCCATCAGTCCTGTGGAAAGCTCTATGTACATTTAGGTTTCGGATTGTTAGTGGAGTTTATTTGGGTGTATTTAAACTGGATCTTTCTGCTGGGGAAGATGAAACCCGTACCATCACCATTCTTATTTGAATTACCCTAGAGTATTACACGGCCTATCAATTAAATCACGTTTCCATCCCAGTATCAAAATCCCATCTTTGAAGAAGCTTTAATTCACTCTTAGACTCAATGGCTTTTATCATCGACACGCTTTTACTCTCGTGTATATGAGTATTGCACCATTGGGTACCAGCCCATCGACCATAAATGTGCCAGTATTTCAGTGGCGGAAGCCTTTGAGACGCACTCTTCTGTATCCTTGCTTCGCTCACGGTAGTGGCAGTCGATTTCGGTTGAGAAAACGCATTGTTAGCCTGGACTAGCCAACTGCAGTAAGACCTCTTGGCTTTCGCGATAAGAAGAAAAGGAAAAAAACCCTGACCTCAGCGCGGTTGGGAGATCCGATATGATTATCGCATCTCCGAAACAGAACGGGACCGTAGGCCCCATGCTCCTGACGGGACAGCGGAAGTCTCTGATCCGATAACTATTTCCCTGAGTTTATTGGGCATTTTCAAACTAAGCTGAGCTTGTGGACGCCACTTAATCTCTCATCCAAGGTAAACTCAGGGGAAACGGCGCCCAACGGAGGGCGGCGTTGGGGCTGGCCCGCAAAAGAAACGAGCCCAAAAATCAATAGTCTCCTCCTAGCTCTATGCGCTTGGAAATATCCATCATAGCTGCCGATCCTTTATTATTGCGATGCGCAATGTCTATACAAAACCCATACGCGCTGCCTCTTGTGAATTTCTCGGATTCTCCTTCAGTCATCCTTTAGACCAGTCACTCTTTTAACAAGATATCTTCGGTATCACCACGTTCGCTACAATGATGTTCCCCAACTTCGCTGCCGGCCTTGTTGCCGCTCTTTCTATCTCCGGTGTCAACGCTGGTCTTTGCCGTCCTAGCTCGCAGACCAGCGTGGTGGTTTCATCTGGTAGCACTACGGCTAAGACTGCTACTGAGACTTCAGCCACGCAGACTGTTGTTGGTACCACTACCACCAGTGTCGAGACCGGTTCAGAGACCACCACCAGTGATGCTGGTGCTGAGACGACCAGGAGCGTTGAGTCTGGATCTGAGACTACTACTGCCGAGACCGGATCTGAGACCACTACCGTTGCGATTGCCTCTGACACCACCACCGCTGAGACATCCTTCGCCACTACTACCGTCCTCACCACCTCTGGTATCGATGTCACTACCGATGTGACCACCTTCATCACCCTCACCGCCACCGACACAACCACTTCTGAACTCGCCACTACTTCTGCTTTCGTCCCTGCCGATCTCTTCCCATGCGAAGTCAGCCAGGACTGTGAAGCCTACATTCAGCTCTGCGATGCTATCCGCTGCGGCTGCATCAACCGTAACTGCGAGCAACTCACCGGCACCACCAGTGCTGAGCCTACCACCACCGCAGCTGTCGATGAGGAAACCACCACTACTGCTGAGGCTACCACTACTGCCGCCACCGAGGAGAACACCACCACCGTTGCAGTTGAGGAGCCTGCTACAACCACGCAAGCCGAGGAGGCCACCACTACTGTGGAACCCCTTCGTCGACGCGCTCTCGCTAGCGCTGTCCCCGAGGGTACTCACTACTGCAATGTTCCTAAGGACTGTGAGGAGAAGATCGACATAAATGGATACAGCTGCGCGGACTTCGATTGCACTTGTGCTGAGAACTCTTGCGTTGCTGAGGTGCCCTACCTCTAAGGGATGAGGGTGATAAGCTCAGTGTACTTTATCTAATTGTTGACAATAGACGTCAGGCATATAATACCTTTCTTACCCTCTGGCCCGATCGTTGTGAGCTGCTAGAACATGAAGACATTGTTTTCCGTTATTGCCATTGGATAGTTTCAATTTCTAGTGGTTTGTCGAATGTTGACAAGGTCCACGCTGAGCGCTTCTAACTTCATATTGCAGCTTGATTGTATATTTTGACTGCCTATAGAAACAATGGCAACCTGATGTTTTGCGCATTCATGATATCGTGACACTCTCTTGCCAACACCCTTTCCTCGGGATATAAAAGCTCCTCATCAAAACTGACCTCCAAAAACGACTTCTTCCAATGCTGCCAATGCTCAAACATGGTGGCTGAGATATCGTATCTCTTGTCTGGCCGACCTCTCACCGCTCTCTCAAAAGACTTAATCTTATTCGAGTCTAATGTTTCCGCCAGTCTAGGTGCTGCAGTCTGCAACCAACCGTGAATCTCATGGAGGACGAATTGGAAGTCATGGTCCGGCGCGCAAATAAGGTTGATCGTTCGGTACGCCCAATACTCTGTTATTCCTGGGATGCCGCGGAGATACATCGTTGCTTCTGCCCTCCCTGCTCTTCTGTAGTAATCCTTGTCTACCCAGAAGATTTCATCTTTAGTCTCGTGACAGTTACATTGAAGTGACTCATAGCAGGTTTGCCAGACGCTGTGAAATGAAGGCAGTTCGCATAAGGAGTCCCTGGTCCTGTACCTTGGTTCCGTTACCCACCAGGGCGTGCTATTCACTGATGGCAGCGATCGAATCGCGACGAGGAGATCAACTATCATGTCGCAATCGTCGTCGAAGCGCAGGAGAGTGGACGCAAGAAGCTCCCAAAGCTTATTGCGCCGTCTCTCTACTAACCTCCCATCTTCTCCTGGGTGTTGGTGCGAGAAACCGGCAGTGATGGCTCGGGCGGCCGACTCCGGGCTCATCGTCTTGTTGAGGTAGTTGCAGAGAGCTAGACTTTCGTCGAGATGTTGGGTGCTTATGGAGTGGCTCTGACATCCGAGTCCACGAAACTGCCCGAAGACCCTTTTTGAAATTGTTATTTTCATTCAAGAGACCTGATAGCTGATTCTTGCAGCTCGCACCTTGGCTCGTCCTCCCAGTCAGGGGTAGGTTTGGCCGTAGAAAGAATCGATTCATCTCGAGAAGACACACCATGCTCAAGTGGTAACATTTTTGGGGTTCGATGAGAGATTCAGGCGAGGGTTTGGCGGACAGGCCGGTGCTTCGTAACAAATGAATGTTGGTGGCTAGGTAGACATTTCTCACGCACCTCCAGTTTGCGGACAAGCCAGCTAATCACGTCACGTGATACTACGAAACTTATACTGGTATCTAAGAAACGACTTAGATTAGAAGAACAATTTTATTTTCATCTTGGGAAGCCCTTCGACACTCAATTGCCTTTAGTGTCATAGTATGATGCCCAACTTGGGCTTTTACGGATTGGCAGTCAGACTCACGGCACTGCCATCGACCCCGCGAGCCAGCGTAGCCAGCCCTACCGGTATTCATCAAGTCTCCCTTGCGATGTTGGGGGCCATGCGACCTCACTGAAATGTCTCGCGTGAGAAAGTGGTGTAACACCGCTGAAACATCCTATTCGCTGCAAGAAGCCTCTTTCATCAGAACTCTCTGCGGTTGGCCATCAATATGCAGTCAGCCATATCCATGATCCAATCGCTCAGCCGCATCAGCTCATAATCCGAAGCCCTTGTCCCGCAGTTTGCGCATCTTCCGTGGCTTCCTTGGGGGCTATGGCAATGCCCCTTTGGCCTCAGATTAAGCTTAGACTTGAGGAGGGTTGGAAACGTTCTAAAAATACGACCGTATCTGACCTCTGCACACCACAAATTAAAGAATTCTCTTTTATTATTCATCTTCTGAACTATGAATATTCGCTCAGCCGTAGAGCCTACCTTAGCTCACAAGCCATTCTGCAAGCCTCATCACTCCGTCATAAGGATTTTCGGTATGAAGTAACACGAGCTGCCGATAAGCTGTACCACCAGCTCCCGTCGTGCTCCGCCACGTAAGCTGTTCGCCATGAAGCTTACGAGTTCATAAATGCCCCAGCTCTTTCCTTATCTCGCTCTCCGTATGTCTCAGTTAGTCTACAGCGCCTACCATGTCTCTCAACACTCCCGCTGCAGGGCAATCTGCCCCGGTGAACAACCCGGAGGCTGTTGCGTATCGAGAGCGTGATGCGTTATACAACTACTCAACTGGTGTTGTTGACGTTCCACAGGGCTACAAGTACCGCCAGTATCGTATTTTCGGGTTCACGCTGCCTTGGTATGCGTCACCGAAGATACAACTGGGTATGGTTGCTTTTGTGTGTTTTATGTGTCCGGGTATGTTTAATGCGCTCAATGGAATGGGTGGAGGAGGGCTGAAGGACACCAAGCTTGTGAATGACATGGTGAGTAGCCATTACTGATTGGAAACATCATTTACTAAGTAGCTGTTCCAGAACACTGCCTTGTACAGTACCTTTGCTGTTGTCGGCTTCTTTGGAGGCACTTTTGTCAACAGGCTTGGCGTCAAGTTGACACTAGCATTTGGCGGAATTGGCTATGGCATCTACACCATTAGCATTCTGCTCTATACGCACTAAGAAAACGATGTCAGAGCCTTCAACATCGTTGCAGGCGTGCTTCTTGGTCTATGCGCAGCCATGCTTTGGACCGCTCAAGGAACTATCATGATCTCGTATCCCCATGAACATCAGAAGGGTCATTACTTTGCTTGGTTCTGGGGAATCTTCAACATGGGAGCCGTCATTGGGAGCCTTGTAAGTACTTTCCGTGTATTATTCCATGTCAAATTTGGTCCTACCGAAATGTCGCTTCATCTGTAGTGCAAGCTAACAAGTTCTGTTGATTCCCTTGGGCGGCAACATCAACACCGAAAACAATGAAGACGTCAGCGATGGTACCTACATCGGTTTCATCGTCTTGATGTTCTTTGGAGCCGCCTTAGCTCTCCTTCTCTGCAACGCAAATGATATCATCAGAAAAGACGGATCATATGTCATCCTGATGAAGAACCCGACATGGCAAAGCGAGTTCTATGGCTTGTACGAAACTATTCGTTACGAACCATTCGTTATCTTCTTATTTCCCATGTTCTTTTCATCAAACTGGTTCTACGTATATCAACAAAATATCGTCAACGGCGCATATTTTTCAACGAGGACCAAGGCGTTAAATAGCCTCTTGTACTGGCTTGCGCAGATTGCAGCGGCGGCGATATGGGGATACCTCTTGGACTTGGAATATCTTCGTCGATCTGTACGAGCAAAGATTGCGCTTATTATTCTTTTTGTCATGACGTTTGTTGTTTGGGGAGGAGGATATGTTCATCAGAGAACATATACACGAGAGATGTCGCAGGCCGAGGACTTTGACACGGATTGGAGGGATGATGGGTATGCTGGGCCCATGTTTCTTTATATCTTCTATGGCTTTTATGATGCAGCCTGGCAAGCTACTGTTTACTGGTATGTCCACTATTGCTATTATTCTGATGGTGACTAACAAGCCAAGGTTCATGGGCGCACTCTCCAATTCAGGCCGACGCTGCGCAAACTACATTGGCTTCTACAAAGGCATTCAATCAGCCGGCGCAGCCATCTCCAATAACCTGGACGCGAGAAAAGTGTCATTTGAGGCACAATTCATCAGCAACTGGGTTCTCTTAGCTGCTTCCTTAATCATCGCGTCACCCGTTATTTTTCTCAAGATCAGAGATCATGTTGGTTTAGAGGAGGATCTTGAAGGGACAGATGAAACGATGGCAGATGTTGCACCACATGTTGTCACAAACTCGGGTCATGCTGGAGATAACTATGAAAGTAAGGAATCGCGACGACGAGGCCCTGGATCTACTGCAGTCTAACTGTCATTTCAGTGGAACTCGATGAGTTTGATGTATCTACGAAGTTATTACGTCGGTGGTGATACGACAGCGGTACGCGGTGTGGATACGGTTGCTTGGATACCCTTTTCAGAGTTGCTTTGTTAATGCCGGATAGTGGTAAACAGTAAGAGAATTGGTGGTATCGCACGAAATAAGAAATCTAGTTAATCCAGTCACTTGGTGCTAATGTTATGCCGCATAAGGTGCGTCTCGTTTCTAATGTTCAACGTCATCGTACTGGACGGTCACTCCCCGAAAGCATCAAACACGAGCCAATGCCCGCCACACTTTATTTCTTGGTAACAGCATATTCCAAATCTCGTGCGACAAACAAATCTTGCCACAATCTCGATTCCGTCTATTACGTCTGCTCTCGTGCATCATCTCCGGCCAAGACCACCTTATCTTAACAAGCACTACATATTAATTCCAATACGAATAAATCTGCCCGAAGAAAGTCGGCTCCCGAATCTTATCTCACAGGTCATATTATGCACGAGTCCGTTGCGGATCATGCCCAATGTGGCATCTCTGCTTACGCCGCGTCTTCCTATTCGCTCTCGCTGTCTCGCTTTTTCGCTGCGCGACAACTCGCGAGATGCTGATCTTTTTTGCTTATGATCCTGTAGAATTTGAGAATTTCGCGGAATTTGGGACGAGGCCTTCCGAAAGGAGAAGGCAGGCCAGGGTTACAAGCAAGATTGACGATGTTGAGGCCGCGTCATTGGGATTGCCAAGACCGGGAGGAGAGATATATAATGCCTGGAGAGGAAGACATGCTGAGCTTATTATTCCCAGCGCTTTAAGTCCTTATAGAACTAAATTCTTTGACATTATCGTTGCTCAAGATGAAAGTCTCAAATCTTTTGTTGTCCCTCCTCCCTCTGACCGCTGCTGCAACGAGTATCCCCCAGCCTCGCACAGCTTCTGCTCTTGAACCAGCTACATCCGCCGAATGCTGCCCGTTCACTTACAAGCCGACATGTACTAAGAATCTCGAACGGGTGTATCACATCAAACTCTTCTACAACCGAAAGGAAGGAATCACCCCTGAGCAGTTCAACGCGTACTGGGCCAACAACCATACCAAGACTGCTGGAAACTTTCACTTGCGTTTTGGTGTATACAAGTACTCGCAGGTGGGTAACCCAGTGCTACAGCTAGTCACATAAGCTAAATCGTTCCACAGTATCACTCTACTCCTGAACTTCGAGACCTTCTTCGCGTCCCTGGTGGAGCTCCTGTGCTTGAGTTCGACGGCGCTGCGGAGTTTTGGGTTCCGACTATGGAGACTTTCCAGGCTATGGGCTCCGATCCATTCTACAGAGATGTGATTACGACTGATGAGAACAACTTCATTGATCATTCGTCCATGAGAATGATTGTTGGTTTCGACTATATCATGGTGGATAATCAGAACGCTGTCACGGAGCATGGTCGGACCTTTCAATAAAACATGGCGAAATGATAATATTCATAAGATAGAGGCTAGACGAAGGGCGAGATATCCTGCGAGAAAGGACCTGAAGACGCACACGCATATTTAGTACAGATGGAGAAACGTTATCTACTTCTATGTATATCCAACATGATATCTTATTCACGGTTTAACCTACCATGCCACGACCCGGAATATTCTACTCAAGTTTGATCTCAAACTTTCCAGTCGGCTCGGGCTTCGAGAGTGCCCACTTGATTCCGTCCTCCATGACCTTGTCCCATCTCTTACTCTCAGCCAATTGATCTCCAAAGCGACGGAAGCCGTGCGGCAGACCATTAAAAACATGGACATCCGTGGGGACTCTGCAAAATTGTCAGACTGTTTCTTATGCACTGGTACTCGAAACTTACCCTGCTTCGACAAGCTTCTGTCCATAGAAGAGAGCTTCATCTCTCAAAGGATCCAGTCCACAAATACCCAATGTCGAAGGCGGCATGTCCTTAAGTTGTTCCACAGTCGCAAGACCAATATTCAAGCGAACGTCCTTGGGATCCGGATTTTGAACCTTCAACAGCCCAGTGAATTTGTCGAGTGATGCTTTGTTGATCAGCGGGGCATCTGCGTTCTGCACATACGACGACAAAGATGGCTCCTTCATCTGCTCCATGATAGACCCGTAGCAATCAGGATGAACAAGAGCAGGAATCATCAAAACCTGACCAGCGAGCTTCGGTCGTGAAAGAGCATCCGGAGAAATGTTTTGTCGAAGCGTCAAAGAGGCTGCTAGTTGGGCACCAGCTGAGATTCCACCGACAACAACTTGACTTGGAACTCCGAGGAGCTCGTCAATATGGTCATGAACCCAGTGAAATGCATCGACGACGTCTTCCCACGCTGTCGGATAAGCATAGTCTGGGGCATGACGATAGTTCAGGTTGACAACCGTTACGTTGGTCATGACTGCGATGCGAGTGCAGATACCATCTTCAGAAGGAATGTTACCAAAGACATAACCACCGCCGTGGAGATGGAGATAGACAGGTAGACGAGCGCCTTCTTCGGCGGAAGCAGGTCTGTAGGTTCGAACCTCGAGGGGAAAACCATCTCTTGAAGTGACGGTGTAATCTTTCATGAGAATAGGGTAGTCTTTAAGCTTCTCCATCTCGCTGAGTGCCAGTTGTTCTCGGTACATGTTCGTGAGGCGCTGCATCTCCTTCAGGTCCAAATGACCTGGAATAGGCGGCCTGCTGTCCGTGACTGCTAGCCATTCTGCTGTCGCATTTCCGTATTGAGTGAAGTCAGCCATGGCGAATTTGCAGTCCAAGCGATTGAATTAGGGATATCTTAACGATCCTGACTTGAAAAAGTTTGAGCAAGGTATTTGGCAGGTTTGAGTTTTTGAAGGTATCGTGGGAAATACCGAGGAAGATGTCGTCTCATGATGTCCGCGGGTCCAAAGTTGTCGCCGAACCCCTCAACTTCGCCGAACTCGGTATAAGTGAGTGCCGAAGCATCCACATCGATCGGCGAGAAAGCCGAATTCTCAAAAGATCATGATATCTTGATCGTGATAATATCTCACCATTATACATGGGAAACTTGACCCTAATTTATTCATTTTCGACCGGTTGACTGCCGTTGTATGTAAATGGGTAGCTTGCACTCGGCGGTGAGATTCATAAGCGGGAGTTACATTAAGCGCGCCAATCATGATAGCTTCAACAAAGTCGACCAAGAATCAAGCAAACTACGTCACGATATTCATAGTTTACAAAAGGCCCGACAACGTCTCAACGTTACATAAAAATCAGGGTCGAATGCAACTTTCCCCCGCATTTCAGGCCAATACCGAACAAGATCTGCATAAACTCCCGGGGCCGTCGGAGATGAATATAAACTTTAATGCTTCCTTGGGTTCCCTTGATAAAATGAAGGTTTCCTCCTTTTTCATCTTTGTTTGGTCAACGACAGTGCCACGATGAAATTCCTCAGCGCTGTGACTAGTGTGCTAGCTCTTCTGCAAGGCGCTGATGCAGCGACTTGGAAGGACTACAAGCCGCAGAGTCGCACGCCCAGTTCGTGTCCTGATTATGTTGACTATTCGCAGAAACCGCACAAGCCGCTGTCTTCTGGCAAGTTAAAGCTACCGTTTATGAGACCAAGTGAAGAGTGCAGAACTTTCAAGAGTCCAGCTGTTGAGGTGCGTCTACAAATGCGTTGATGTGAGATCGCATGGCTGACGTGATGGTAGAAAGTCATAAGCGACATCAAGAAGCGCGTCAAGAACCCTGATCTGGCGCGTCTCTTTGAGAATACCTTCCCATCGACGCTAGACACGACGGTCAAGTATTTTGACGCCAAGAAGAATTTGGCATTCATCGTCACGGGTGTAAGTTCTTTTCTTGTGGATTTGAGAATGTCGGCTGATGAAATACACAGGATATCACGTAGGTAGAGATGTCTCTCTCACAAAATGACGACTAACCAAGAACCCGCAGGGCACAATGGTTACGCGATACGGGTAACCAGTTCGCGCATTTGTACAAGCTTCTGCCCCAAGACAAGAACTTGAAGGCCCTCGTCAAGGCTATCATCAACACTGAGGCGAGATACATCTCCGAGTATCCGTATTGCGGTATGCGCAATTTCAATTCGACTAAAAGAGAAGATGAACTAACTGAGAGTGCTAAGGCTCCTTCCAGCCGCCACCTGAGAGTGGATTAAGCCCTTCAGTCAATGTATGAACCCCCGGAAGATGTTATATCATAACTGGTCCGCAATGCTAACGGGTTGAATAGGACTATGCTACACTTGTTACCGTCAATCCGTGTGGTCTCCCAAGACTCTCATCTTCTTCCCATACTCAAGCTAACGCCATGGATTTATAGTCCAGTCGATAATCAGACAGTATTCGAGTGCAAGGTATGTCACCGCACTCACAGCCTACCATACAATTTGGCATTTACTAACTACCTTCAGTACGAACTTGACTCTCTGGCCGGCTTCCTCAAGATTGTGCGATCATATTATGATAACACCAAAGACGCCTCTTTCATGAATGACAATTGTGAGGCGTAAGACTCCTGATGTTCTCGCTAAGTTACTGATAATCGACAGTCAAATCTGCTATGAAGCAGATTCTTCGGGTCATCGACGAGCAATCTCAAAGCACTTGGGCCGAAGATTGGTCTTACATCAGCTACTACAACTGGACTGGCCAAGCAGGCTCACTGTCACCACCAGTACCCAACAGCGGAAATGGTGAACCCAGGCTAGCCAATGGTCTCGTCGCTTGCAGTCATCGTCCATCAGACGACTTGTCTGTCTTCAACTACATCACCTCCGATAACGCCATGATGTCAGTCGAGCTTGATAACGTTGCCGACGTATTGGACAAAGTTGGAGGCCAAAATAGCCTTTCCAAGACGCTACGTGGTCATGCCGAGACGATTCGAGACGCAGTTTGGAACCATACTCTCACTGCAAATGGTATTTTCGCTTATGAGACTAATGGATACGGCGGCCAGTACATCATGGATGATGCCAACGTCCCAAGCCTTGTATCCCTCCCATATCTTGGCTTCCTCAAGCGCGACGATCCGACATACAAGAAGACCAAGTCTGCTCTTTTCTCACGAGCGAATCCTTACTACGCTGTCGGAAAGACATTCAGTGGAATTGGTGGACCGCACGCGAACGCGACAAACCCATGGCCTATGGCACATGTCTCGGCTATCTACGGAACGGACGATGACAATGAGATCACTGAGCGACTCAATATAATTTTGGAAAATACAGCTGGCCTTGGATTGATCCATGAGAGTGTCAATATCTACAACTCCTCTGTTTTTACACGCCCGTGGTTTGCTTGGGCCAATAGCTACTTTGCTGAGATGGTCCTTGACTTGGCGGAGAGAAAGCCCGGGCTGATTTTCAAGGACGACAAGCCATATGTCATCTAGAACGCATCCCCTAGAAATACTACAGATTAGTGTTTATCCGTACTCAATAAGAATAACTATTCTCAGTTTACCACCCAAAGGCCTTGTCTGATTCAAACATCGAGTGTCAAGAAGGAGGTAGAGAAGGGTTACAACGAGCCGAAATGGTTCGACGTGTCTCAAGATAGCCTTACTAATTTAACCTTAAGCAAATGGGTTGATCTCTAATTTCTGTAGGTAGTAATAAAGTCCTCGTGCACTGTGGGTTTAGATATCATTTCAGACGAATACTGAAGTATGAGTGAGGCTCAGCAGTGGCCATATGCGAGATAGCACAACACAAAACATTACTAACAGCTTACACGGCCTTTGATTGGGGTCCATTCGCAAGGGTAACTGCTTTGTCAGAGTGGGCCGATCTCTAGAGCGAATGGGATCAGTGAAAGAAAACCAATAATGCGCGACTATCCATGAGGCGGCCGACCAAATGGTAACAGTGGCCAAAGAGATAGCTCAGCTGGCATCGCTTTAGCCATTTTAGAGCAGTCGGCGGAGACAAAGAAAAATACCTCTTTCTTAAAAAGGATGGTGCGGAAGAAATGCACCGTCGGATATGCACGAGCATGAAGCGAAAACTCGTATCGGTAGAAATGATATCAAGTTCATTCACCGACAGCCCGACCTACTATATGCCCTCAACTATAAAGCCACTTGGGTATACTGCCATCCCACAACAATCCAAGCTTCTCAGGACTCAAGTTCAAAGCTCCCACCGATTCATACACAATGCAGCTCATCAACCTCTACGCCCTCACCGTCTTCGCCACATCAGCCCTGGCAGCAGACTGCTTCGGCAACGGTAACAAGGACATCGGAAAGTTCATCACAGCCTACTGGGATGCTCGTGAGAGAATGTGCAGTAACTCTGGTTGTACTTACCAAGAGGCTTGCACTACCTCCGGATCTTTCACTGTCAAGGGTCTTGGTGTTGACACTATCCTGAACGTCGAGATGAAGCGCAAGAACACTGGTGGCAAGAAGGGATTCAAGGATTGCTGGGTACGTATTTCAACCTTGCCTGATAGACTATGCTCATTAGTGTTACGACAGGACGCGACTGAGTATGTGATTCAGTATCTCCATTTGACTTGTCTAATTCTTCTAGGGACATTATCAACCAGTGCCCCAAGGGTGGTTCGAAGCAGTTAAGTGGATCGTGGGAGGCCAACGGTCAGCTTTATCAGGTGAATGGTTATTTCTCGTTCAACTGAGAGCAAGATTTTGCGTGAGGCTTGATTACGTCTCGAGAAGTTAGAACGGCTTGGCTCTCCTCTCCTCACACAGCAACTTTGGGGGATGCATGATAGGAGAAGTTCATGACTTATAAAGTAAGACTTAGCAGGTGTGTTATCTCAATAAAAGAAGTTTGCAGCCAAGCCTTCATTTTGATCTTCTGCTGGAGGTGATTGAGTTATATATTGAAGTTGGAATTTCTGTGAGGCAGCGAGGCTACCTTTGAGTAGGAGAATGGTCAACTGATGCCATTATTTCATCTTCACATCTCGAGGCTATATAGCAAAGTTTTAGAAGACATTCAACCGGCTTGGCTCAGCTGACATGCATGCATCTATTTTTAGTAGCATTTTTCGTTCATTATTTGTGGCTTATCAACGGAGTTTTGTTATGCTTGAATGAAGCGTAAAGCCAAGACAGACGGCGCGCGCACGACCCCTGCAGTAGGTATCGATAAGGGAGCCAAGGTCCGCTAATTGCTCTTTTCATCTTCATGTTGGTCGCCGTTTGTTTGTTGCATATCGCAATCTGGCTCATGTTACTTTTCCCCTCGCCGGTGTCAAAAGACTCGTCTTACATTCTTACTCACGACTATGCCAGGTTGATTTGGATGCGCGTATCGACCCAGTTTGTCTACGTTCTCCGAGCTCATATGCGATGATCAGGCCATCCTCGTCTGGCGGTTCTCCCTTTACGGCCCGTCACGCATGCGAGATTTGCAGGTAGGTCAAGTCAAGACAAGCCAATCCCCGCATCGATAGTCTATGCACTGTGTACCATTTTTGACAGCTGAACTGACGACTCGATTCGACGAAGCAGAGAGCGAAAAGTCCGGTGTGATAGGGCTTTGCCAAAGTGCAGGTTTGTTCCATCCCATCCCAGGCAAATGCAGTCCAGTGCAGTCTATCACCGTACCTTTTCCACTGGAAAAAAGGTGACCGTACGTAGGATCAAAATGTGGAGCTGACGCTTTGGCCTATGTCCCGCAAAGACGATGCGACCGACTCAATCAACCTTGCGGGTACAGCCCGATTTCTCAGCGTCGTACTCGCGATGAACAGCTGCAGGAGCTCCAGGAGCGATTGGCCAAGACCGAAGCCCAGCTCGCTCTTGAGACCCCGCGGCCGAGGAGAGGTTCTATGACCTCTCATTTACAGCCACCGTCGACCACTACTGCACCCGTTTTGTCATCACGTTGGCCAGATGGTCTGGGCTCTATCACGCCAAACACCAGCACCCAGGACCAACTTGCGACAACAGCATCATCACGTGTATCTAGTCTCCCCGGATCTGTAGGTCCGTTCACTGGCCGCAATCCCGTGGAGCTAGACAGCCACCGAAACATGGGTACGGCTATCGACCTGCCGACTAATAGCTCACCCATGCTAGATATTGATCTCTTTAACCCAGGAGCTGACTCCAATATGGCTTTCGATTGGTGCAATCAGGTGACAGCCCTGGAACCGCTGGATAACATACTACTCACCCGCCTATCGCCGCGATCTCTGGCTCATAGTGGCACCGAAGAGGAAATCTCGCACGCAGAACTAAACTCACTGCACAAGTACTACTTTGAATCCATTTATTTCTCCTTTCCCTTCTTGAACCAAGACCGCTTTGCGGCAGAATCGATGGGAGGCGGTCTTGCGATAAGCGCTCTCATTTACGCAGTCGCACTCGCTGGATGCGCTCATTCTTCCACTTCTCAAAGCAAAGAGTCTGCCTGCTATGTATTAGCAAGAAACTATGCAGAGAAGTGCGAACGAGATGGCCAGTTGAACGAGCTCAACTTATTGCAGGCCCTACTCTTCATCGGAAGATATGAGGCTATGGTTGGGAAGCTCGAGAGGAGCTGGATGACCCTGGGACGTGCTGTTATGTTATCCAGGCTGCTTGGACTGCCCTACATGGACAAGCGAAATGAAGGCGATGGGCTTCAGAACTCTCAAAGCCATGATGGCTCTGGACTGAACCTGCCTGAAACGACTGATCAGGTTCTTCTGGAGGAACGAAGAAGGACCTTCTGGGCTTTGTACATATTGCTCAGTTACGTCAAGACACGTACTGGATGGCAATGCATGCTCAGCGATATAAAGGTAAGATAACCCTGATCAACTATCTTGGAGTCCCTCGACGCTAACCTCAAACCATCCAGAAATTTTACATCAACCTCCCATCACCTGGTCTGCTGAGATCAGATCTAGTCCCGCTCAAGATGCCCTATCTCTCAGATATAGAGCTCGAGCCCAGCACCGAGATCTCATCCTATGCAGGATGCGTCCTGATGGTAGAGCTGGCCCTGCGATGTTTTGAACATGGACAAAAGCGGACTTCGGAGAGCTTCTGGGATGGCTACTGCGATCTTGTGAAGAAGATAGACGTCCTTTTCGGAATGCTGAAACGTCACCTCAACGCTACATCTATCCGAGAGGACCCCGTTGCCTTCAGCCTATATCTAAATCTCCGTGCAACTGAGATATTTTCCCATGAGTCGGCCATTGCGCGGAGCGAAGAGCAAGGTCTACCACCACTGATGACGGCTGAGAGTCAACGTCGTGCCACGGCAGCTGCTTTCCAGATATCGACCGCAGTGCGTCTCAATCTTCCCTCGCCTGGGAAGACCGAAAGCGATATTATTATGCTGCAAGCCATTTTCATCGCGTGGCCGCTTACTATGGCCTTGAAAGCATTTTATCGTGAACTGATGAACGGTTGTAGCCGCGACGGTATTAATGGCGTTGTTGCGTCGTCGAGGTTACTATTTGCTGCTCTGGACCATATTGAGGAGTCAGGCGGACATTGGCATCGCAGCGTCGCGCATGTTGAGAGGAAGCTTCAGGAATGGGAAGAGAAGAATAGTTTCAACTCGCTCACCTTGTGATGAATAAAGTTCTGGTCTCGGATGACTTCTGGTTTGGGACGTATTAATAGGCCTGTTAAGCTTAGAATTTATGGAAATGAACGTAACAGTTTCACCTTTGATCTCTTATAACCACTGAGATTTCACAAAGTGTTGTCTGAGTTCTAATGTCTATTACCTCTATCCTTCTATCTGTCTATCGCAGAGCTTGTTTCAATCCTTGATCGTGTACTCTGGCTGACCAGGTATACTGTGAATGCTGGTCTCCCTTGAGGCCATGATATCCTGCGCCAGTGTTGTCCCATTCATGTTGTTCAGTTCCGTTTCACTACCAGCTAAACTCTCTAGACCCATAGTCTCGGCAAGCCTCTGATGATTCTTTCCTGTTCCCTGCCAGTAGACCCCTGATCCTCCAGTAAAAGTTCCTAGTTTCCGGGAACGATTCGATGGTATTGCTTGGCCGCCTGATTGGTCCTCGCTTGTGAGTAAAGTTGTAGACTTCAGGTTCGTGAGCTTTCGAAGGAGAGGCCGGACCGCTGTAAGAGCGACCACTATGACCGAGATACAGATTTCGGCAGTTGCCCAGATGTCTAAGAATATGTCAGAGCTAGATCTGAGATGGTGTCAAGATGACTTACATATAGAAATGGCATTATCAACATATACCATGGTTATAAATCTTCCAACGCTGACAGCGATGGTGACAACCCCCAGACTAAAAACAACAGCTAGTCCAATCTTCTTACGCGTTGATGTCATTTTAAGGGTTGCCAGCAGGGGGATTGGGTATGCAACATCTAACTGAGGGTCAGAAACTGAAGTAAAAAGCCCAGCGGGCCATGCAAGTCGTGACTTACTCAGGACCTCGGATACAAAGTTCATAGACCACAGAAGCCGCATAAGGGTCATGGATGTGAAGGATGTGCATTTTTGCTCTCCTTTTGCCCTAAATATCCCGTCAGCGGTGCCCTAGAGGTTTATGAATACAGACTGACCAGTTGACAGAAGGATCAGGCCCGCACCAAAACCAATCACAGAAGAAAGTGATGACCGCGAAGGATGCCGTGACGCCGGCTAGACAATAGAGTGCAATGCGCATTTTTGGCTGTGTAATTGGAACGAGGTTGAAGTAGAAGGCGATGATGCTGAATTTCGGAAAGTATATGCCTGTGTCGAAGAAATGATTTGTTGCGAATCGAATCTGAAAACAAGAGAGAATAAGTATACAAGCCGGCTGGCACCCTGACAAACGAGAAACAACATCCACGTTTTGTTAGCATTAGACGCTCACCTTTCTGATAGCGACATTATCTATTGTGAAATTATCCATCGCATCCATGGAGTAGGTAATCGTGTCGCAAATCAGCAGACCCTGGCAGCACAATAAACCAGCGATGAGCCAATAGTCGGCTGAAAACAAGCGTGCCTTTCTCATGACCACGCGGACATAAATGCGACAGGCGACTGTTATGTAGGCGAGGGCCATGAAGGACCACTCGAAGCCCTGAAGGTTCAGCATTTCTCAATCGTAAAACCAGAAGGTAGATACGTACCATGACAGCCCTACTGGATATCATACTGGCGATATCCCGTTGAAGGGAATCGGTCGTTTGAGGAAGAAGCTATGCAGGAAGTACGGTCACATCACGCATTAGAGATTCAAGAAAACAGGAAGAGGTTTCCAGGAAGCCAGCGAGGGGCACACAGTGATGCTTATCAGAGCCTAACATCTGGTGCTAGTTGCTAGCACATCATGGCGCACGCCACCATAACCAGGAATAGAGTTACCCGGTCCCAATCATGGAATGCCCAAGCCGCTTTCGAGTGAATATTCCCCACTATAACCACGGGCGAAGATTACGCCAAGCAACGAGTGTCAAAGCGCAGACACCATCGAAGACAATGGCTTTCTTCTGTTGAACAGCATGTCCCTTCAACGACTTGTCCCTTATGGATTGAAGATAGTAAGCATACTCTGGCAGTTCACGGGAAACGAATCACGGAGGATCGGACCAAATCAAATGCCGAAATGAAGTATCTATCTATGATGCATCTACGGGCGAACTTCAGGCACCAGTAAAGTCAAAGCACAGCCCTAGTTACAGTGATGCGACCTCCTTAAACCCGGCCGTCCACTAATCACTTGGGAAAATGCCACACAGTCACGCTACTTGTCGATCGCGCGAGTCAAGAAACGTCAAGCAAAGTGCGCGGCTTGCGGATGCCAAGCTCCTCTATTGGACTGGCGCAAGCCACAGCGCTGGGATTGACTTAGGCTCTCCGAGTCCAGTGACTGGGAATTTGGGATGGCTTATTTAGTGACGTATAAGAAGGGTACAGAATGAAGCAATGATATCCTCTCCCATTTACGGAAAGAAACATTGTCTTTGCAATAAGCTCAAGGCTGTCTAGGTTTATCCCATCACATATATCTAAATCATCTCCTCCTCTATTCAACATCCATAACAATACCTTGAGAGACACAAATAAGCGCGGCAAACTTGGGGATAAATTAAAGATGGACTCAGAAGTTGCTGGAAAGCGATGTCCAGCCCCAACTCCTTGAAGATCCAGTTTCGTAGCTCGGCACCAATCATGCTATCAATGCCGTAACTTGCTCTTGAACGCCCAGAGCTTTTATCGCTGAATTTCTCCGCATCGAGAAGAAGGACCCGGGCCAGCTTGGAGACAAAATGGTCACGCACCAGAGAAATAGCTTGCGTAGGCGACTCGGCAGCCTTAACGCGGTAGAGAATCGAGCCTGCTTCTCCACCAACGTGATTCGCACCGTCTAGTCGATTCATAGTATCAAGGAGGATAGAGAAATGGTGGTCCGCGGCCCAGAAAGCATCAACGTCACCCTCAGCCTGCTTGCTTGCTCTGTGGAGCCCTGCAGGGTCAAGGCCGACGACGAGATGGTCAGATTTAACGCTGTGATCTTGCTGACCCTGTTGCTCCAAGATTGACACCTCGAAAGCGTCCAGGAGAGCCTCCCCGTCAATACCATACATGCCCTTACGGGTGAGCGAATTCTCGAGGTTCAGGTTTTCGGCAACTACTCCCACGCCAAGAACCATGGGGAGAATGACTGCACATGCAGGTTTGCCCTGAGAACGGAGCAGGCGAGCAAGCGCATCCTTGTACAAGTTTGCAGCCGCATAGTTACCCTGAGCGGGAGTTCCGAGAATGCCAGACACAGAACTCGTCATGAGAAAGAAGTCCAGAGGTAGTTCAGCTGTTGCCTCGTGTAGGTTCTTACTACCGAGGACCTTTGGCTGAACGGATGTTGTCCAGCTTTGGTAGCTCATATTCTGGAATAGGCCGTCCTGCAACAAGTGTTAGCTTATCTATGAAGGCGCCAAGTAACCACAACTCACCCACAAGACCAGGGCAGCACTCACAATACTGCGTAGAGGCTTATCGGAGGGTATCGAGGCGACAGCTCTCTCAACAGCTCCTTTGATAGCCGCATAGCCTCTAAAGACCTGCACCCGGGCACCTCGAGCTTCCAGATCCGGGACGCAAAGGGCAGCCTGCTTCGAATCCGTTCCCGAACGAGATAGAAACCCGAAGTTCCGCGCTCCTCGCTTCATTATCCATGTGGTCAGGCTACGTCCGAGGCCACCGAGACATCCCACGAGGATGTAAGTGGCATCTGCGTGCAGCTCAAGACGTGGAGGGGTGCGGGCAACGCCTACAGTGCCACCATTTGTATGAGTTATGATGGTTTCGCTGCTGTTCAGGGAAGAGGCGAGGGTGAGTGAGCTGTTGATGTCCGAAATCCTGCTAATTGCCAAAGGTGGGACAGGGAGTGAACCATTGTACGCTCGAGAGGTCGGTCAAGGACCTGGGGCCGCTTGAAGAGGCCAATGAAGTTGACTGATAGGTAGCTTGCTCCGCGAGAGGCAGACGCAGAGTCCAAGGACGAGCCTGAAGGCGTCTTACCACAGTTCACAAATCGTGACAAGACCGGCATATTTCTCCATGACTCTTATGAATTTCCGGGCTCAACTGAACTGCCCGAGAACACCACATCGATTTCGTATTCATGCAGACTCTCGGGAGTATAGTCAACCAAAATCTGGTCTCTAGAAAGGTCAAAAGAACTTTGTAGCTCTTCAGCCTCGATCGTTCCCGACTGCGACGTAAACCCGGCCCCCGAGCGCTTTCCTGACTCGGATCGCGGCTCCTCCAAGGACTCTTGAGCCGGGAAGTACAATAACAGACTCTTTCGGCTCCACCTTGGCAAGTGTCTCGAGACCGTAGAGAGCAGGGCCATAGTACATTGGGAGACCTGCGGTAGCCTCATGATCCTCAAAGTCGTGGAGCTTCTGTATAAGACACTCCGGGACTCACTGAAAGTTTGACAGCTTTCCTGCACTAAAGGCCACCATGCGGTCGCCTGGCGACACCCTCGTAACGGCATCCCCGGTCCGTGTCACGATACCAGAAGCCTCATGGCTGAAGTCAGGGCCAGGAGAGGATCCCAATATGACGGCTTTGTCTTCGTCGGTAAGACCTGTTGCTATCACTCGGAACTCGACCTCGACAGGTTGCAATGCCACCTCGTCAGCGTTACCGTGAGAGAATACAACTTTTACAGAGTCGATTATACCGTCCAGTCCGGCTTCTGGGTTTAAGGGCTGTGACTGGGTCTCGTCTTCAGTGAGAGCGTATCTCTCGCTGATCTTGTCGAATGGAACAAGTCGGTTAATCAGGAGCTGGCTGTCGCTGTAGCAATTGGTCAGTCATCATGGTATTGATGTCTAAGTTGTGAGCTAGAAGTGTTATATGCAGTTGAGACTTATGGCTGTGAGCCTATTCCAGCAGAGGGAACCTAGGTTTTCTCAACCAGGCGAGTTCAATAAAATCGGTAAGTGATAGGTGGTTCTGGATGCCTCTGGCAAGTGAGAAATTCAGCCTCGAGACAATCTGACTATAAGGCTGTACAGGAGTGACGTCTTCCAAACTCCGCGGTATAGCAGCCTCATAAGCAGTGCACTGCATACTATTGATCCGCGTCAGGACCTAGCCACTATCTGATTGTGGGCATTGAATATCCTCTGGCCTCGGGGATCGATCCAGGAGAAGGCCTTCACATTGGAACTTCCCTGTAACTGAGCTTGCGTTGGCTTCCAAACAACGACATCTTCAGCGGTCACGGGAATAGCTCCGAACTTCATGGCGCTGGCTCAACCAGTCCAAATAGCGACGATCATGAGCTGAAGGCAAGAGTCGAGAATGGCTGGATGAAATGCGTGGCGAGACTCATCCTTCATAACAGACGTCTTGATGTTGGTCGTCGCCTGAGCACAATATGACGTGCCATCAAACTGGATATTGCCCATGTCTTGGGTTGTAAGCCCGTAGTCGAAGCCAATCTTTTTCAAAGGCCTGATTTCTGGCTCTTTCGAAGGAGCCGCCGATAGTTAGCTGGCCAAGGATGTCATGGCGTGGGAACCTTGAAGAGCCATGCTCCTTACTCTCGCGAGACTCAGCCCAGAATTTCTTGGCTTTGTCCCACTGATAAGGGGGCAGATCAATAATGAAATGGCATCTCCGAGAGTTAATATTTCCAGACGGAGAGAGTTCCTCAATCGCAGTGATGCGTTGCAGATCGATGGGATAGTCGCGAAGGAACAGCTCACCGGCGAGCTTGAGCACCTGCTCGGCGCACCTGGCACCCCGGATGAGATTTGGTAGATACTGAACTTTGTCAGCGCTCAGATGGGCCTTGAAAAATTTGCCGTACAGGTCCCGATAGAGCAGAGTGAGGACCGATCTCGATCAGTGTGTCGATTGCCATATCCTTACAGGCGAGAGCAGTCTGCACGGCTTGGTTGAAAAGTACGGGGCTGGTGAGGTTGGCCTGCATTATATGCAACTGCGACAAAGAACATTGAATTTCAAAAAGAGCTGCATACCAGAGCATGATTCCCAGTTCACTTCATTCAATTAACGAGTACTAAGCGTTTTGTCGCTTCGCCAACCTCTGCTAGTGACGGAACTTCTGCTGGAGTCCCATCACAAAGACTACTAAGCAGCTGAGCATCAGAGAGATAGTTACCCAGTCGCGAATGTGAGATTCTGCAACGAATTATTTTGCTCCAAGTCAGTCTCTTTGTTCGTTTTCTGCATCCATGAGATAAAGCGCATTTGTTCCCCCCCCCCAGAGGAGTTCTGGAATTGACGATTGCGAGGATTCATGATAACGGAGAGCTGTATTATCATCTGGATTGAAAAATAAAATTAATGATAACGACTATCATTTCATACACTCCCACCAGCTTCATGTCTGTTGTGGCTTCGTGGAGTGAATGTCAACAATGATCTGTACCCTCTGGAGAAGCTGTTAAAATCGAGATGGCTTGGATAATGTTGGCAGAATATAGAATTATACCATACATGTCTATTGAGACAATGTAGCTGATTGCTAGCCATAATTCAAATTTGGGTTGCTAACATACAGGATAAGAATATTTGTGAGAAGTGCTGGCAAAGGTGACGTTGGTAACCTTGAGCATCATATTTTTCGAATAAAACTTATAACACCAGACGGTGTGCTCCAGAGAACCCCCCCATTAGCTACTACTTACCAAAACTTAATGAGTATTCGATCCTTGCTGCATCGTTAGAATCTGAGCCAGCACACAGCTCATCATGCCAACGTTGTGAGCGCCGCAAAGCTCTGGCTTGGCTTGGATTGTCAAACCAGCCTTCAACCCAGGCCTGCTTACTAGGCTGTCTATTAAGAAAACTTTGTGTTGGAAAATTGGGCCTTCCGTTACTGCGCTTGGGGTACAAGCGACGATCATCGAAGAACGCCCAGGCTCGTTGACGATATATGTTGCGTTGGAGTTCTATGCCGACCTCAGAGGAAAGCTGGCTGTAGATTGGTGACGCGCGGCTAGTGACACTTTCCGTGGAACAAAGTATGCCAGATTTGTAAGGGTACTCGTACTTCTGTATATACCAGGTTCTAAGACGCTTTCTCAAGGCTTGCTTGTCGCGTACATCGGACATGTCATGACTGAGAAACTCGATTAGGGGACCAAGTCCAAATCGAGCAAAGCTGCCTTCGACCTTGTTTTCATCCTTTATAACATAGCCCGCTCTGACTCGTTCGAGCTGTCCCATCTCAGAGGCATAGATCTCGGGGTTGATGAAGAAAGTATCTGGAAACAGTAGCCCAGTCTGAAGCGAAGTGGAAGCGTCTGGGAGCCATGCATTGCCGCATTGGGCAAACATGGCGCAATAAAGAGAGCAGACGTAGGTATTAACACACTTAATAGCCTCGTGTTCGGCGGTGTCAAGTTCTCGCTGAGGGAGCCTGGACTGGGTCGCGGCCAAAGAGGTCTTGACCCTGCAATTCAGCTCATAGAGTAAGAATGCCTTTAAGAACCTATGTACCTCTGTGTCTTTGAGGTTAGATGCGTTGAATCTGGCCGTTATCTTCTGCCCATTAATCATGATATATCCTTCGGTCATTGGAATCTTTGACTCCAGTGTCTGTGGAAGACAAAGATAATCCCTCGGAGGATAGGATGAAGTAGCCTTGGTGACATAATCCTCGATGAAGATAAGGAGTTGACTGTGTAGCGTGTTTAGCTGATCGAATAGCTGACTGAACCGCTGATCATTGTGATCCTTGAGGGGGTTTGGCAGCCGATGTTTTGACCAATCCAGGATATGCTTATACATGGAAGATTTGCAGGAGTTCTGAATGAATAGGATTGCCATGGCATCCTGAACCATCTCGTCGTCAAAGTCAGCAGCGATCAAGCTTCGGGCGATGTATCTTTCATGTGTGTGATATTGCCGAAGCATCGCAGGAGAGGCTTGAGTGAGAGAGGAAACACACCGTTTGGAGCGAATGTGAACAAGGATTCTGAGGCGCAATTCTGCGGGTAATCTATCGAAAGGATCCATAGTGGCAATCTCTGCTTCGGAAACCGAGTCGAGGTTGTAGATAAGGGGCGTTCAGATTGGCTGCAGCTTTAAGGAGAGAAAATGGATGGACGGGACTGAATGCACCTTTGATTGACGATAATTTTAAAGAGAAGAAGAGGGTTTATAACGGCCCCAATAAATATTTATTACTCAACTCTAGAGTTAAAGATGTAGTGTGCTGTGACTCATTTCTAGAATAACTTGTGCAGGCAGAAGAATTGTTCCTACTGATTGATTGCTGCCTAAAGCTTATAACGTCTCAACAAGACATATCAAGCCAACATACTAGAAAATTACAATTTAACTTCTGCTTTTAGAAGGCAATATGTGCTAACTATTATAGTTAATTTAATAAGAGATCTATAG